AGTCGGCAGAGCACGAGACTCTTAATCTCGTGGTCGTGGGTTCGAGCCCCACGTTGGGCGAAACATTTTAATTAGATTTCAAAGTAAAATTCAAGATCTCTTCGCATGTTTTAAAAAGGAAAAGAAATAGCTGAGAGAGCGCTAATTAATTTTGTTTCATTATGAAATTAAGACGTTCGCTATCAGAAAACTAAGCATTCAAATAAAACGCGCCCCGGCGTAGCTAAGTCGGCGGCACAAGGGGGCGCTCTTAATATTCCGGGGTCGTGGGTTCGAAGGCCCCACGTTGGGCGAAACATTTTTAATTAGATTTCAAAGTAAAATTCGCGATCTCTTCGAATGTTTTTAAAAGGAAAGAAAATAGCTGAAGAAGGCAGGAATTCGTTTTTGTTTCATTTATGAAATTAAGACGTTCGCTATCAGAAAACTAAGCATTCAAGAAAATGTGCCTAACTAGCTCAGTCAGCGTGAGCTACGGGACGCTCTTGATCTCGGGGTCAGGGTTCGAGCCCCACGTTGGGCGAAATTACATTTTTAATTAGATTTCAAAGTAAAAGTCGCGATCTCTTTGCATGTTTTAAAAACGAAAAGAAATAGCTGAGAGAGCATAGAATTCGTTTTTTGTTTCATTTGTGAAATTAAGACGTTCGCTATCAGAAAACTAAGCATTCAAGAAAATGTGCCCGGCTAGCTCAGTCGGCAGAGCACGAGACTTAATCTCGGGTCGTGGGTTCGAGCCCCGTTGGGCGAAACATTTTAATTAATTTCAAAGTAAGTCGCGATCTCTCCTTGCATGTTTTAAAAGGAAAAGAAATAGCTGAGAGCGGGCTAATTAATTTGTTTCATTATGAAATTAAGCGTTGCTTATAAATTAAAATTCAAGCAAAATGCAGCTAGCTCAGTCGGCGACACGAGACTCTTAATCTGGGGTCGTGGAGTTCGAAAGCCCCGTTGGGCAAGCTGACACGAGTAGATTTCAAGTAAAATTTCAGATCTCTACGCATGTTTAAAAAGGAAAGAAATACTTTGAAGGCGGAATTCGTTTGGTTATTTATAAATTAAGACGTTTAAGCTATCAACTAAGCATTCAAGCCAGGAAATGCGGCAGCTGGCTCAGGGCGGTAGAGCGCGGGGCTCTAAATTTAGGGGTCGTGGGTTCCGGAGCCCCACGTTGGGCGAAACATTTAATTAGAATTTCAAAAGTAAATTCGCGATCTCTTTAGCATGTTTAAAAGGAAAGTTAAAACAGCTGAGAGAGCGGAATTCGTTTTGTTTCATTTTATGAAATTAAGACGTTCGCTATCAGAAAACTAAGCATTCAAGTAAACGCGCCCACTCTCAGTCAGCGAAACACGAAGATCTTAATCGTGGTCGTGGGTTCGGGAAAGTCCCACGTTTGGCAGAAACATTTGCCTTATGAATTTCCGAGTAAAAAGTCGCGATCTCTTGGCATGTTTTAAAAATTAAAAGTAGCTGAAGAGCGGAATTTTCGTTTTTGTTTTCAGGTTTACATGAAATTAGGAGCGTTCTATCAGAAAACTGGCATTCAAGCAAAATGCGCCAGCTGGCCCTGGACGAAAGACACGAGACTCAATCTCGGGGTCGTGGTTTTCGAGCCCCACGTTGGGCGAAGGCTGTTTTGTAATGGATTTCAATGTAAAGAAGTGAATCTCTTTTTATGTTTAAAAAAGGCAAAAATAGCTGAAGCGCTGATTATTTGTTTCGTGAAATTAAGACGTTCGCTATAAGAAAACTAAGCATTCAAGTAAAACGCGCTGGCTAAGCTAAATCCGACGCGAGCACGAGACTCTTAATGTATTCGGGGTCGAGGGTTCGAGCCCGCGTTGGGGCGAAACATTTTAATTAGATTTCAAAGTAAAAGTCGCGATCTCTTTACATGTTTTAAAAAAGGAAAAGAAATAGCTGAGAGAGCGGGAATTCGTTTTGTTTCATTTTATGAAATTAAGACGTTCACTATCAGAAAACTAAGCATTCAAGTAAAACGCGCCCGGCTAGCTCGTCGGCAGTGCCACGAGACTCTTAATCTCGGGGTCGTGGGTTCGAGCCCCGCACGTTGAGGCGAAACATTTTAATTGAATTTCAAAGTAAAAAATCAAGATCTCTTTTGCATGTTTTAAAAAGGAAAAGAAATAGCTGAGAGAGCGCTAATTAATTTTGTTTCATTTTGAAATGCAGACGTTCGCTATCAGAAACTAAGCATTCAAGCAAATGCGCCCGGCTAGCTCGGCGGCAGAGCACGCGAGATCTTAATCCTCGGTCGTGGTTCGAGCCCACGTTGGGCTAAACATTTTTAATTGATTTCAAGTAAAAAATTCAAGATCTTCATGTTTTAAAAGGAAAAGAAATAGCTGAGAGAGCGGGAATTCGTTTGTTTTCATTTATGAAATTCGAGACGTTCGCTATCAGAAAACTAAGCATTCAAGTAGAACGCGCCCACGCTAGCTCAGTCGGCAGAGCATGAAGACTCTTGGTCGTGG